CCCCAAAACCCCAAAACCCCAAAACCCCGAATATATTTTAGCAAAGGAAATAAATTTAAAATGGATAATGTCTGATTTTGGAGCTTAATATTAAGCGAGACAGTTTAGATCTAGATGGGTGAATGTAATATCCGATTATTTGGTGGCGATAACAACGAGAATATCCAGCTTTAACGTCTCTGTTGTTTGAGGGCCAAACTTCAAGGTCCATTGTAAGTCAAGTTCATCGTAGAATTCTGACTTTTGTTCCTCTGTCAAGTTATCCAAAATGTTTGAGAAAATTGGTGATTTTATTATAACATCTACCATCTCCGTTACGTTTTCAGAGGTATGGTTTGTCTCTGTATAATACATTTTTACAATGTTAAATTCGACTTTTCTAAAATCTTTATAGATATTTCCTTTGTCACTTAGATGAGTTGCAGGTTTGTTTGATGAAGCTGGGAGCTCGTGCCCCAGGCTTTGAAGTACACTAGGTACAAAGTTGAGATTGGTGCAATTTTCAAGTCTCCCGGGAACTGTAAATCCTGCCACTCCTCCAATTTCTAAAACTCGATATGCTTCCTCTAACTGGTTCATGTAATTATCAACCAAATGCAACGACAAGCTGGAGAGATATAAATCAAAGCATTCATCTGGATATGGAAGCTTCTCATTGTTTGCTTTGACCAAAAACAACTTCTTCTCAATTTCATCTCCCATCTCTTTGATGTGCTTGTTGGTGTCAATAGTTTCAAAGTCTTCGATCATCTCCAACTTATTTCTTGGATTCAGAGCTGAGTCACAGCTCTGGAAGTTGTCATAGAAACCTTTGATCATTTCGTCAGACAGATCACTGCAGAAGTAGAAGGCACCCTTCTTCATAATGCTACTGATGAACATTCTCGCTGCAAGGCCTGGGCCAACACCAACCTCACAGATTTTGGAGAACTTCTTGGCTTGAGTAAGACTGTACAGAATGATTGGAGACTGCATTGCAAAATGTTCAAGAACGTCTTGATACATTTCAACAAAAGTGTCCCAGTCTTTGGGTTCTGTAATAATATCTTCTTTATTATTTTCCATTGTATAACAATATTAGCTTCATGTCAACTTTCTTATATGTATAAGGGGTTTTGGGGTTTTGGGGTTTTGGGGTTTTGGGG